AAAATAATGATAGTAATCCTGAACTAATGGAATGCAGTAAATAAACTGTTCACTTAACAGAACAAATGTGTTCTTTCCATTCACAGCTATCAGGTGAAATGTATAACTCCTATCAACACAAACAGCAGTTTTAATAAGGAGAGAATTGTCTGTTAAAACCTGAAGCTAAACCATCTACATCCTTTACACAACTTTACATCTTCTCTTATGTGATGCATTTCTGTTGAATTCCACTGTACTCTATAAAACTCCTTCACAGTTAGTGTCCTAAGTCTCATGGCATTAAGAAATCATTGTATAAACACACATGATTTCTTGTACCCGTGGGAGACAGTACAGGCTTTAGAACATGATTTTTTTCTTCATTCAAAGCCAATGAAGGATAAAGGCAAGGAAAAGGAAACTCAAACTCCTCACTGGCTCTGCTTGGCATGCAGCTGCTCCTGAAAGCACAGCAACCCACTTGCTTGTATCCAAACATCTATTTTGTGTAGAACTGGAGCCTCCAGGCTAACTGATTGCCATTCACCCCACTACAGTAAACTCTGTTCAGCTTGCAAGCAATGATGCCTATTAGGATAGAAATGACTTTAGTTTCCTCCCATATTAGGGAATGAAATTTTACTCACCCCTGAGCTATGCCATGAACCACAGGAGAATCATTCCCAGTACCTGCTCAGGTGTGCCACAGCAGCACTCAACATGTTGCTTTTGATTATTTTTTTCCTGCCTGGAACTTCTAGTATATTGAGGCAAATTTTGAACAAACCCTGCCTAGACCATCGTGGTACCTGGATGATTTGTACAAGGAGTGACCAGGAGCTCCCAGCTGTTCCAGATCCAATGTTTTGGTACTGCAATGAGCTGCAAGGATGGTGTCAGTTATCTTCTTCTAACTTCTCAGGAAAGTTTTCACTATCCACATATCTTTTGCTTTTAAGGTGCCCTTTCACATACTTTGGAGAATCATGAAGGCACAACTTGTTATATCTTATGCAAATGCTAACCATGAAACTGGGATAAAGACAAATGATTGGAACATTTTGTTATGCCCTCTAAGGAGACAACAAAATTTTGCAGCATTTAGCTGTGTTCTGGGCTTGTTTGCACAAGATTCTTCAGAAATATAAAAACAAACTTCTGTGTGAACAGGGTAAGGAGTTTCATTTCTGCATTCTACAGCAGACAAATTTTCAGTATGAGATTGTCTCTTGGTATTGTCACAACAAGGGCAAGAAAAAGGAGCTGTCTCTAGTGAAAAGTGCCTACACAAAGTGGATCACATCCTAGTATGGTTTGCTGGTACTTTGCCTGGTTGCATTATTGGGTAGCATGAACCAGCAAGAACAGATCTCTTAGAGTGACTGGTGCTGTGAACGTCCTTCAAACACTTCAGGGTGGTTTCACTTCATGCTGAGTCTACTCTGGTCCTGCAGATGGAATCTGTGGCTCATGAGCTCAAGGTACTACTAAACTGTATTTCCCACTTTAATCATTTTGGCTATATTCTCCAACACTGCCCCAAACAATAAACCATTTGAAACATGTGTTTCTGCTGAGGCACAAACCCAAAGCAATACTGGCAATGTTAATCGGTTCTGGGAATGTTAATCTCATATCAGGGCTGACTCACTGTGTACCTACAAAGCCCAAATGCAGTGCAAGGGAAGAAATGCTTCTCCAGACACTGTAAAACAGAGTAATTGTATTGTAAAGCGAGGTGATTGCTTGTTATCTCAGATAAGGTCTGTGTCGGGTTCAACATCTCTTTTTCTTTGTTTACACCTTCAACAAATACTACCATTGTAATGGAGCAGAGCAAATTGGGGCAGGGTGAAAGAAAGCAATCTAAATCAAAGCTGATTATGTACATTATCGGTGAGTGCATGCCTAACTCCTCTTGGATAAAGCTCTTCCTTTCCCAGTCTTAGAGCGGAGATTCTTCAAAAGCCACTGATGGAACAACATCTCTGGTGTGGCCAGACCTGCAAAGTGACACCTCTGGTGAGAAACCTCAGGCTAGACTGCTTAACCTGGCAGAGGTGGCACTTAGTGCCATGGTCTAGTAACCACCGTAGCGTTGGATTTGATGATCTTGGAGGTCTCTTCCAACCTGGTTGATCTTATGAGAGGGGTCAGCAATTGGGTTTTCTTAGGTCTACAAGGATAACATCGTCATTTAATGCCATGGTCTAGTAACCACCGTAGCGTTGGATTTGATGATCTTGGAGGTCTCTTCCAACCTGGTTGATCTTATGAGAGGGGTCAGCAATTGGGTTTTCTTAGGTCTACAAGGATAACATCGCATCTCGTGGGAGGAAAACGTGACAGTTTTAGTGCAACTATCATCCTGTCTCCTTGCAGCCAGGTGTGCTGCTGCACGGATGGTTATGCTGGAGATGCCAGCCCTGCCAGTGCTCCCCGGGCCCTCCACCCTCCCCATCCTCCCAGTGCTCCCCACCCTCTGTGTCAAACGGGACCCGCGTTCAAACGGCTCTTCCCGCCCCGGCCCCGGGCGCGGTGATGCTGCGGCCTCCG